ACTAAAAATTGAAAACTGTGTCTCTGACTAAATGGCTCTGGCCAGTGAGGCTTTCCCAGGGGTCAATCCTGGGACCCCTTTTGTTCAATCTGTACACGCTTATATAAACCAGGCTGATACGCAGCCATAATCTGTCCTAACACACCTATGCAGATGACACTCAGGTCTACGTGTCACTGACAGTAGGAGAACATGGGCTTGTAGATTTATTGTGTCTCTGAATTGTAGATGCAGAACTTTCTCCAGTTAAACTTAGACAAAACTGAAAGTATCATCAGTCACTTTCCGACTCTTTCTCTTAAACCTAAAAATCAAGTTAAAATCGACTCAGACCTTAACTTTGACAGCCACATTAAATCAGTTACATCAACAGCCTTTTAGCGTCTAAAAAACATCCATCAGAGGAATGGTGTCTAAACCAGACTCAGAAAGACTAATCTATGCATATGTCTCCAGCAGGTTAGACTACAGAAAGAGCTGGTCACTGGGCTCAAAAGCAGCTGCTCCAGTTCGGACCAGAACCGGGAAATAGCACCATATCAGTCCAGTTGTCAGGTCTCTGCTCTGGCTTCCTGTCACTCAGAGAACAGACTCTAAAACAGCTCTGCTTGTGTTCCAGTATCTTCATGGTCTAAAGTCCATCTCTGACATGTCAGAGCTGATGAAGCAGCTGGACTTAATGACCACAATTCCTTCATACATATTGTTGTGCTTTCTTTTATCTGTGAAACAAACATTAAACTAAACTAAAACAGTCATATATATGCATTCAGGAAATAAAAATCAGGATGTGAACAGCCTTAATGTGCTCTTCTATGAGGTTACACAAACTCTCACATTTGCTTCCTGTTCTCAGAAGTATGAGTAGAAAGATTAAAATGTTTGTACATTTGGTTTCACGTGCTTTTATACACAAAGATTATCCAACTCATTCAATAACAAGACACACGGTATAGCAGCAGATTACTATGACTATATGAGAGTCTCAGAAGCTAGAACAGTGTTTAATACTTACAAAAATAGATTTAGGAGCAGCAAGAGTAAGAGAGAGGAAGGCAAAAAGGGAGAGAGAAGGGGTGAAGATTAGGTTGATTAAGAAGTAGAGAGAGACTGGTTGAGTTTCACATAGCAGAACAGAAAATTAAATTATGTGTATGTATTCCTCTCAGTGCGATCAGATGAACAATTCTTCATTGTCAGTGGCAATCAACCAGTGGAGTGAGGCTCCAATGATGGATAACACTACACTAATTGCTCCTCCAATGCCTTCTGCTTCTCTCACACATGCTTTGCTTCACTCTCAGTCATTCATTAGGCTCTCCCACCCCATTGCTGCACAGCACAAACAGAAACAGATCGCAGATTTATGGGAGGTTGGTTTCACTTCTCTTGACAGCTACTGCAGCAGCACACCTCAGCCTGGATACTGACACATCTGCTTCTGGTGACTCCTGTAAAGAAGGCATTACGTTGTATTGAAAATCAATTGCATTGCTTCATCAAGGAATGAGCTGTGTGATTACAGAAGAATAAATCATTGGGGTAGTTTTTACGCAATGGACCCCATCAGGTCCTACAGAATAGCTCGATGAATTTCAGTGTCAAGCTGACATTTATAAGGAGAGAAATCCTTATAAAAACACACAGAAATAAAAAACAACTTACAACTATCCGCTATTTCTGTTGAAAAATCCCAAGGCATCTATGAGCAATCCAGGCAGAGAACCATCAGGAGCAAATACTAAAACAACAAATACTTACAGACAGCAAGGACAAACAAACACCTCAGAACTGTACAGCAACTGTTAAGAACAGTGTCTCCAGGCGAATGAATGTGTGTGTGAGCACAAACATACCATGTGTTTTTTCTAAAGGTTGCAGAACTTGACCTGGGAAAAAATCAAAACACCTAAAAACCCCATGACATCTCATATTGTCTATTTTTGTGGCTTTCTGCTGTCTGTTTTTCTCTGCAACTTGATGAGGTAAGAAAAAGTCTGCATACAAGCTTCATGTAAGTGTATAGGTTGATATGTGCTTTTAAGTTGAAATACAGCAGGGGAGTGCTTTTTATGATGGGGTAACGAGTGACGCAGGCCAGATGTGAGCGGCCATAGAAAGACCGTGTAGCCCTGGCACACACCTACAGCACACAGCAGACACAAATTACATGCCTTCTGGAACACATCAATATTTTCACATACATTTTAGCATGTCCTAAGAGCAGACAGAAGGACAAAATGTCAGCGAATACTAGCAGGATTCTGGTCCTTAATTTTGGTCCAGAACATAACGAAGAACTAAAAAATATGTTTCATAAGGATTTGGGAAAAGTACTATCACAGCCAACACATTGACAAAGAGTACTTGTAAATTATTAGTTTCCAAACCATGAGAGCTTGTTTTACCGCACACATCAGAGCTAGAGCCGCCCATTCAAGCAGCTGAATACTGAAATGCCAGCAAGCACTCGATATCAATTAGTAAATGTTAGTGGCCAAATGAGAGGAGATGGGTAAATAAATCCATGCTGAGGCGAGAAAGGACAGACCAGCCAGACTGCCTCTCGGGCTTCTGTTTCAGCATGAAGATCATTACTTTAAAGGCAACTTGCAAATTAAATCTGCTGTCGAAGGTAAAGGCTTTCTGCAGCTTTTCTCATCACATCCAAACATGTTTGTAAAAACCAGAACGTACAATGTCAAAAAGCTGATAAAGTGATGATCTGTCAGCCACTTAGTTGCACAGATGGGATTTCCACACGTCAAATGCACCAACTTTCAAACGCGCTCACTGATATTCCCACACATTTTTAAATTTCAGTGTTGCTGATAGGTCAGATGTGAGTCAGGATGAGACTTGGCAGAGCAGAAGGCTTTCTGTTCAGAGAGCACTGAGGGAATGTCAGGCTAAGTAAACGATGAATCTGCAGGAGACCTGAACTAGACTCCCAATGCCTCCACATTCCCCACGTCAACACAGGGTGAAGGTCAACGCAGAGAGCCACCTAACATTACACAGCACTGAATATGCGCGTACGCGTGTGTTCTCTTTTGAGTATTTAAGGCGCTTTGAAGCCTTTGGACCCATCAAGGTCTGGATTATCTGTGAGACTTTAAAAACATCTTTCTACACCAGACGGTAGACACCAATTTCTAAATCTTCAAGCAAGAAAACAGAATGCCGTGATGAATATTGGATAAAGAATTCTCATAAACCAGTATTTTTCTGAATGTTTTTTATCATTTCGTCAGCAAGAATCATGGGTAGAGAGCTGGTCTTTCCCTTTAGGTTCCCTGAAGGGGTGAGTAGGCCCTGGGGAGAGCCCACTCTCTTTGACTGACCTCCCCAAGACTGACTCCCTTTCCCAAGCCTGTTTTATGTCTCTTCTCCACACACTGACATATTTAGGCAAATATATGACTAATCACCTGTTGGGAACATCAGCTGAAAAGTGTAGCATCTCAGGGCCAGTTCACAAGGAGCCAAAAGGAGGGAATTAACCAAACATCTGGAGCATGAGGAGATCTAAGCTTAAGGCAAGGTGAGTGCTGTTTTCCCCCTGCTGTGAAGGACTCTGGAAATACATCTTCTGCAAAGATTTGTTGTGAGCTTTCACATATCTAACACATTTTGAAGACTCATACATCAAAAAGCCTTTTTTAGATTTTCTGTTAAATGGTTCACTGAACCCTTATTTCCTTCCAGCAAAATACCCATTCACGGTAGTAGAGTGGGGGTAGAAAATAACATGGGCTGAGCATGGCCTCCCGCTATAAGTGCTTAATTAAGTGGTTAAAGTCATTCTCCCAAAATGGTTATCAAATATTTCAGTATGTGACCTTCGCCTGTGATTCAGACATGAGGTAATGCATGTATTCCCCAACATCGCCTGGGACCAGAGCACATCTGAAGCGTTGGACTGAGCACCATCCTCTCCGAGTCCCTGTGAGACAGATGTGTCAGCCCTGAAATTTCTCATTAATTCATTAAAATTTCAAAAGTTAACAAGTCAGACATGAAAGATTACCTTGGAGACGATCAGGCGTTTTCCAACAGTGAACTACAAACAGTGAAGTGACTAATATCACCACAGCACTCTGTACTGATCGGACCACCTTCTACAGAGCATTAAAGATGTGGCCCGCAGTCTATGTACTGGCTCACATCCAGTTGTTACCCAAAGCAGCAACGGAAATGATCTCAAGAAATCATTAAAGGCTGATAAAGTGAACTGCAAATGTATGTCCAAAAGGATTTCCTTCACATGCAAAAAATGGAAGATAGGAACACGATGACAATGGCAGTAGTAGCAGATCAAGTAAGGAAAACTGTCCATTTTCTGAAGTAATCAAACCTGCAATTATGTTTCCCACGTTGAAAGGGTCCAACGACCACGTGCTGAAAGGGACCATCTGGAAACTCAACTGGCTTTAGGGGAGCAGGAGGAGTTTGGTTACAGCACTGACCGATTCATGTATGTATTCATGTATGCCCATCAGAAAAATGCTGTTTAGTGCAACAATGCCCTTGTGGCCTTTATGTGAACGGTGTATTACCTTTTCCTGCAGGGACCACCGGGCGTGTTAGGGTTAGAAATAGAGTTAGGTCTTGTAGACCAATTTGCGATGTTAATACAATTATAAATTCAACCAAAGCATGACACATAGAGAACTCTTACATAAATTGTGATTTCCTCTCAGTCAGTGATGCACCCTTTCATTCATATATTCATTCATATATTCAAATATCGTAGTCTGGTAGCACAGACGTGATATCCATTGATGACAAAAGTCATTTTCTCCATCACTCCATCAGTACTGCTATATTCCAGTCAAAATTATCCATATTCGCATGATTATAAAAAGGAAAAAAAGCATAGAATGAGAAGGTGAAAACCTTTTTGAAAATGAGCTGTGAAGAAGACACCTTGTAAGCATCAAATTATATCATGTGAGGTTGAAAAGGCATGCAACATTTTCCCACTTATTGGAATTTTTATTTGTAAAAGGTGGGACAGACAATTGCAGAGCAGTTGTGGGGCTATTATGCCATCTAGTGGCATAGAAATACAAAACTGTTACGAAGAGTGGTGGGTTCACATCGCTGGTGAAGTATCCTCTCAGCAAACAAGCTGTGCTTTGCATCAGAAATCTATTTCATTTGCATGTGCTTTAGTCTGAATTTCTTTGTAACATTTAGTTACAAAGGCACAGTTGTAAATAAATAGGCTGCAGCATGTGTGTGTAGTATAGCTGTAAATGAATGTGGAGGGGAAAAAAGCTTGAAAGTACCAGTCAGTTTTCAAAAAGCAAACAATTAAAAGGCCAAAAATAAATCTGAAATAGACAACCTCTGTCATAGATGTTTACAGAAATCCAAAAAGTGACAAAAGGCTTAGCTGCAAGTTTAGTGACTCAAAGTGTATTCTCATGAAAAATGATTTACATTCCCAAGTAATGAATAATCCTGCATAGCATTTCCATTATTAGTATTTCCTGTTATGCATGCATTTAGAAATTAAGCCATTTTACATTTTCATCTCATCAAGAAATATAGAAATGAATTGGGTAAGCACTGTCCATCTTTCTTTCAGTTCTTTATAAATGACAGACGCACATAAGGAAACAGAGTGGTGTAAAACTGATTGTACTATGGTTAAACTGAAGACCTTGTGAGTAAACTCTGCTGGTAGAGTATTGAGAGGACCCAAATACGAGGGTTAAGAAAGGAACACAGAAGGGAACCAGGAACAATTAAGATTTATTTTCCAGGGGATAACAAACGGCATAGCCAAAACTGGATACAAAATACAACTAACTGGGGTAAACCACAAACTTAGAATAACAGACCTTAAAAAATTTTGGAAAAAACACTGGGAAGAATTAAGGTAAATACGATAGGAATCTGACGAGGACTGAAATGACTGGGAAGCCTGTATAGAGGGTGTGTGAATAATGGAACAAAGAGCAGGTGACTCGGGAATCACAGGTGAACAGAGTGGAATAGGTGACAGAAGAGCACTGCAAGGAACTGAGGGAAGTTAAGATGAAGAGGCAGGAGAGGAAAACAGGAAGCTCATAAAGACACCAGAATAAATCACAGGACACTAAAGCATGAGAAAACGGAACTAAGAAACAAAACCAAAGGCCAGAACTCTTAACAAACCCCCCAAATCCCAACAGATGTCAATAAATGATATTCTGTAAAGTCATACAGGGATGTGAAGGTATGTAAACATATTTGTCACTGAGGAAAGAGGACAAACATCTGCTCCTTTGTTACAAAAGTGAAACAACTTCATATCTAAATACCACTGTCTGAAATTGCAGATCCATTCTCAGTCATTTTCTCAGTCAACCAGGACGCCTGTAGCAGGCCTCCTTATAAGAAGTGGCATTGACGACTCTAAACATGTCTTTTTTAACAAAAGTGAGGAAGTTTTTGAGAGGGCAAAGCGGTTGGCTTATGTGACGATCGTGGGTGCGACAGAAGGCTGTGTGAAATGTCACGTCTTTGCCATTGTACAGCACTCTAATGAAAATAGTCTCACCTTTTCTAGCCCTCTTATTTGCTTGCCTCTGTGTCACTGGGGGACTCTTCCATAACTCAAAAACCAGTCTTGCTGCAAAACGTGGAAAACTGGCATCCTCTAGTCCCAGGGCGCTGAGCAGCGGCGCCATTGTGACATCGTGAGCTGAAGAAAGGGTGAAGACTTCCTCACCCCCTGCGCGAGCCCCATGGCCCGTCTCGCTGGCCTTGGCGATCCGTTCCATCTTAGTGGCAGTTTGGTTGAGATAGGGGTACATGGCCAAGGTGGCATATTTACGGTACAGCCCCGTTTTTTTCCGATCCACCTCGTCGTCCAACTGTTGCTGGCGGATAACGGCAAACTGGGCCATTGTCAGGCACCCACCCGTGCCACTGCTTCCATTGGGAGCGCATGGGAAAGAGAGGCCATGGCACAGATGGCATAACAGCGAGTCTATAGGGTTTGCGGCTCGAAGCTGGCGGGTGAGAAGGCCTAAGGTGCGTGCCATGTCGGCATAAGTCCTCTCCAGCTCCGCATTGGCCACTCTGAGTCGATATTGCCTCTTCTGCTCCTCCTCCAGGTACCTGCTCCTGGCAGGACAGTCGCACGCAGAGCCACAGAACAATGTGCTCCACTGATGACGCACGGTCAATTTCCTCCAGTCAAAGTCGGGAAGAAAGCCGTAAAAGAAGGCCAGTCCGCTCTGAAGGGTGCGGCTTTTACTCGTAGTCTCCAGCCATACCTGACGAGGTGACCAATCGGGCGGTAGGAGGCTGTGGCGTTTGTAAGCGTGGCGGAGGTTCTGCCCATTGCGAAGGTGCTGCACGACTCCTGCAAACAGAAACACGGGTGTTTGGGTTCACAATCCACAATCTAAAACAATCCACACTCTACCAAACAAAATGAAACAGTCACTTGATCACATGAACGCATTTGATCCACAAAAAAACATTCTGCTTTTATCTGAGATGAATCCATGTCTGGATGGGTACCTGTCTGTGTAAGTTCTCCCATCTCACAGGCACTGTGGTTGGGCAAGCGGGGAACAGAGCCCAATGGTGACTCCCAGTGGCCTTGACCCCCTTGACCCATGTGATTAATGAAAGAGGTCAGCAGTGGGTGGGAAGGGTCCCTAATGGTGGAGAAAGATGACAACAGAAGTGAAGCACACTTGACGAATAGGGTGCATGACTGGTCTCATAACCATATAACTGTGGGGCCTGTTAGAAAAATGTTGTCTTTATCTCCAATTCAAATATTTTTGTGTGGTTCTCATCATGGAACAAAATATTGTTACATTTGAATTAAACGTGGAATAAGAAAAATGATGAAGAAATCAATCAATGGATGCTCACAGGTTTAAAGCATTGGTAAACAAAATGAGCAGCTATTAGGCTGGAGTTGAGAAGGAAAATGAGAAAACTTTCACAATGCACAGATGTGGAAAGAGATAAGGGGCTAATAAACATAGAGCCATTATCCAGGATGAAAAAAAAAAGATCCAGGAATACATCAGAAAGGAAGACCCCACTAATGATTCGGAAAGGTGAGGATGAGGAGCAGGGATATTCATAGGAGGACTCCATATCAGACATATTTAAGTGTGCTACAAGAAAAATAGAATGCCAGTGAATGCAATTTAAGACATGTTGCAGAAAGGCCAGACACCTTGATATTTTTCTGTTTTTTTCTTTCTGAAAATGGCATTCACTGCTGTCAAATGGAAACTATTCCATTCAGTTTTTATTGTATAAGCAAAATAATGAATTCAATGCATCATGTTAGGCCACAAATACAAACATCCATTTTCAACATCAGAAGATTTGAAACAGTTAACTTTGATAGTTAGTTTTGACTAAAGTTTTGACACTAAATACCGACATACACCAGCAGATGTCTCTCTACCTACACTGCTGCTTTGAAAATTCAATGTGTAGGAGGGCATTATTATGATGGAGATCTAAAGAGAGGAAACTACACACACACTGTACACGCTGCCAGAAGCAGTTGAAAAATCCAACAGATTAGAGATGAGGGAAGATTACAATTCAATTTTCTTTAATACGTGGGAGTTGCAGTCCAACTCAGATTTAGATTAAAAGCATGCCCACGGGAAAAAGATGGAGGAAACATTGCTCATTACTTTTCAGTCCTGTCTGTTATTATGGGCACAGACCTTACATGAAAAAAGCCTGGTACATATACATTACCGCCTAGTAAATTAGAATGGATCAACATAATGAGACAAGGAACCAGACAGTTCCTGTCATTCTGTGTTAACCTTTATGCTGATCACAACATATGTACAACAAGAAATGTGGCAAGGCTAAAAAAGTGTGGAATTTAGGGAAAGGCTGTTCCCAACACAGCTCTATCATTAAAAGCTGAAAGGAAAAACTGGGAGGTTAGACTGAAATGGACAGAGACACTTGAGGCGGGAAGTCAGTATTAAGGTCAATGATCTTATCCAAATATTACACACCCAATTATAATAAGCAGGGATTATTATCATCAGATTGATAAAGTGAAAAGAGGGGAAATAAACAGGAGAAAAGAGAAGTAAGAATAATTGAAGGATTGCTGACAGCTGACAAAAACCTTGAGAGCTACTGCACTGGAAGGAGGATAAGAGTTGAGAAATTCCTGCTGCTGCAAAAAGCTCAGCTAACCACAGACAGAAACAGTGTATCGGCAAGCTGGTGCCAGGACACACACACACACCAATACACACACGGCTGCTCTCACTGCGAGGATCCAGCATAGGGCAAATGCTCATCCTGTTCCCCTATAATTATCCTCTGGTTTAAATACAGGGGGAAATAGCTAAATGCATCCCTACAAGGACAAACTGGTACGATAAATAGCCTCTGCACACAAAGCATTACCAGACACTGCAGGTCTGTGTGGCAGATATGACCAACTACAGACCCAGCAGACTGTCAGCAGACAACGGTGAACGCCAAAAAGCAAGCGGAGACAGAGAAAGATTAACTAAACTCCTAGTTGTCCAGAAAACGGTCATTTTCTCTCCCAACATACTTCCAAAGCAAAAGCCACCACTGCAGCATGGTTTCGTGTGAGTCACTTCATCGTAAATAACAAGACGTTTTTCCAAGACGGAGAGGTAGTAAAAGAGGCATTCCTTGAAGTGGCAGACTCATTTATCCGAGACTTTAAAAAATAAGGCCAAAATAGGCCTTGTTTCCCATGAAAGAAAACAAGCGAGGAGAGGCCATATTTCAGTCATTTAAAAGAGAAAACTCAGCTCCCAATATACAAACTGGTGTCTATCGCTAAGGATGGAGCACCTGCAATGGTTGGCTGTGTGAATGGATTTATTGCTAAGTGCAGGCAGGACGATGCTTTCCCAGACTTCTTGAATTACCATTGCATAATCCACTAACAGGCGTTATGCGCTAGAATGCTAAACATGAAAGAGATCATGGATGTGGCCAGAATATCGCCTGCTCTGTTCGAGCCAGATCAAAGACGGCTGTTCCGTGCACATCTGGAGAAAGCCAACTGCGACCACTCTGAGTTGTTGCTACACGCTGATGTCAGAAGGCTTAGTCGAGGGTAATTCCTGCAAAGATTCCGAGAGCTCTGTCCGGAGATCAAGGAGTTGTTCTGTGCAGCTGGGCATGCAGAATACAAGCAACTAAATGATGGTCAGTGGCTGTTAAACTTGGCATTTTTAACCGATCTGACAAACATGTTGAATTACCTCAATCTACAGCTGCAAGGGAAAGGTGTGTGTAAATACACATATACATGAAGCTGCAGCAAGGGCTCACAGCAGCCTAACATCAACCGCTGGTGTTTTTATACCTGTTTGTGGACAGTGTGCAGTTAATTTTGGGCCGCTTGGTCTTGGGAATAGAGTAAAGTAGATAACGGTCCCCATGGCGAATCATCACCTGGACAGAGAGCAGCTTGTAGTCCACAGGACTATGACCTGTTAGAGGAGGATGCTTATTTATATAAAAACAAAAACACTTCTGCCATGTAAGAAGTGGGTTTAAGAAGTACTATTTTAAAATAGCAGAACAACGACAGTGGATTTACAAACATGTCATCTCTCACCCTCCCAGGCCTGTTCGGAGCGATTAGGGGTGTTGCAGTAGCTAAAAGCCTCAAGTACGGGGTTGGGCTTGTTGGTGTGAGGCTCTGGGAACACCCGCTTTCTGCTCTTCCCCAGAGACGCCCCTGTGCTTGCATCTGCAGCATGGAATGGATGCTTCTCCACCATGGGAGAGGTGGGGATCAGGTTCACTGTAAAAAATATAGACATAAATTAGGAATAAGGAATGTGAACAAGAGAAAGCGACTAAAAAAAAACAACGGATAACTTAAAGTCTGGATTTTTGTAAGGGTAAAATTAGCCTAATTCTTCTCAAATTTACAATGATAAAACACTATATTAAATTAATTTAAAAAAGAATGTATCTTCGGGAACTAGACATTTAACTGAAGGTGCTAGAGATCAAAGAGGCTCTTTGAGAATTTATTGTGTGCACTGGCTGTACAGGGGCATAAGGACTGACCTCACGCTGAGAGAGCGTTACCAAAACAGAACAACAAAATGTTTAGGAAAGTGTATTTCACAGATTTCAATCACATTTGCATTAGGACCAAAGGACAGCAGGCCTAGGGTGTGCACCTCGTCATGGGTTGAGCCCAAAACCAACTGAGTCAGGTTACAAGAATCATTCAAACTTAAAAGGCTATTGGCCAGTGGTCTGGATTCACAGTAAACATGGCTACCAAAATCCCCCAAATCATAGATGAGTAGTAGGCCTGTCCCAAACTCTGTAAAGTCCTGAATAAAATCTTGGTTACATTTAGGAGGGTGATACAACCGAGCACACAGGACTGGAGTATCAAAGCTGACCACAAATGTCTGTAGCTCAAAACTGAAAAATCTTCCGCTACGTGCTGACTGGATTTGTATACTGTTGCCAGCTACCGCCTCTGCCTGTCATCCAAGGCGAGTTCAGACAGAGGCATCCAGAAAATAACCTAAACTTAGTTGAATCGAGTCAAGTATAGCCAAGTAGAGACTAGTAAAAATGGACCAAATGATATTTGTTCATTTTCAACAACTTCTTTCTTAATGGTAAAATAGGCACAATTCATGTACAAGGAAACTTAAAATGCTTTACATAAAAGCTTATATAACATATAAGAAATGCTCAAAATGAAAACAGAGATAAATAAAATGAAGCAAAGAAAAGTTGTTGTCTGGAAATACAAGTGCTTCAAAACCAAATAGCACAGTTAACTTTAAAGCTGCGTGAGTGGAGAAACCCTCTGCAATGGTAACCATAAATACACGTCCAATCTGTACATGGTCCGCATAAACTCACCAGAGATGAAGAGGAAGATCAACTCTGCAGCAGAAGCTGAGACCATTTTAACAAACGTGCAGAAGCTGAGAGTCTGGCTGTACACAGCGGAGCTTGTTCATTCCCAAAAGCTTTCCCCGTCAGCTCTGTGCCCCACACTGCCCAACTATTCGTCCACACACACCGTACTGACAGAGCTGACCACATTTCTGCAGACCAGTCCAGTCCCACGGCTGTACAAAGGGGCTTTTGTGGCTTCATGCTCAACACGAAATAGTGCACAGAAATGCCTTAAGATCATATTGTGCGACTCACTAACACAAAACGTAACAAATGTATAAACCTGCACTCACTAAGTGTATAAAAATGTCCTAATTTTTTTTCTACTTCTTTACATGTTTGGCAGTGATTTGAACGAAGGTAACAAATCATACTGACTGGACTCAACATCCATAAACTGTTCGATAGGACCCACGAAAAGGCCTTTGCAAAGTCCCTGAAAAAGCCACCACAGTAAACACTTGAATGCGGATGCTATTGGAAGCAGTCCAGGAAAGTCCAGGCAGCTTTGGCCCTCGTATATGTGCTTCTTAAACCACATTAACCTCCACCCCCACAGTCACTGCAGAACAGAACCTTTTCAAAAACAAAAATTGCCCCCCTCCTCTTCACTCTGCTGACGTACGACTACTCGGCGAGACAGCTCAGCCGTCCCAGTGACGTTTGTGGACGACAGGGTGGGACGAATCAGGAGCAATGCCGAGTCCAAATACAGAAAGGATGAAGAACACATGGTGCAGAGAAAACAACCTCTGCATCAGAGTGAAGAAGACCAAGAAGATGGCGGCAGACTGCAGATGGGACCGCTGCCCTCTCCCTCCCCTGCACATGGGAGGAGCAGAGATGGTCTCCAGCTTTAGCCACCTGGGTATGCACATATCCAATGAGCCTCACCTCCTCACCTGGAGTGTTGGCACCCCTCTCCCACACTTTACTCATCAGAGGTACAATGTCTCATTCATGATGGGTGGAATTTCACATGTGTATTTACTACTGTATGCTCATTTCAGCCATAGCTGATATATACATATACATATATATAGAGATATATATACATATATAGGCTGTTTGATGTAACAAATCAAAACACAGTGGACTTACAGAACTGTAGGCTTAAGCTGACGATGGCCAGCACGGCCCCGCTCCCCACCAGCAGAAAAAGAAAGCGCTTCCGAGCCAGCATCTTGTGACTGATCCGTGTCCATCAGCCATCTAGGCTGAGGCCTATTCCTGCACACCAGACACACACAAACACACACACAAAAACAATGTGTTGAGTGTTAGAAAAGAAAACATTCAAGTTAATGAATAATTCAATTAATGCAATTTGAAAAAGTCTGACTTTGTGTGAACAAAGCCTCACATGCTGTGAGGAGCCACTGAAAAGAAAGGAAATCCATCAAAGGGATGGCAGAAATGTTAGGAGTGGCCAAATCAACCGTTTGTTACACTCTGAGAAAAGAAAAAAAAGGAGGGCGCTGGTGAGCCGGGGAACTCAAAAAGGCCTGGACCTCCATGGAAGGCAACAGTGGTGGATGATCTCAGGATCCTTTCCATGATGGAAAAAACCCTTCACAGAACACTCTCAGAGAAGTAGTGTATGAGTATCTAAGTCTACCATAAGGAAGAAACCTCAGGAGGGTGAATACAAAGGATTCACCCATTAATTTACCTCAAAAATAGAAAGGCCTTTGACTTTGCCAAAAAACACCCTAAGAAGCCGGCCCAGTTTTGGAACAGCATTCTTTGGACAGATGAGACTGAGATCAAACTGTACAAGAATGATATTAGGACGACGGTTTGGAGAACAATTTGAACAGCTCATGGTCAAAGCACACCTCATTTTCAGTAAAACATGGAGGAGGAAGTGGCATGGGCTTGCAGGGCTTCCAGTGACACTGGGTCCCTTATGCGTTTTGTTCAGTTTTTGATCAGCTCCCAGAAACATTATGGTTGAGTGCATTCAGCTTTACTTTAAGTACACAATACTTTATATTTGTATACTCTTTGGTAGTAATCTGTTTGCTGGCCTGGGAGATTATTTTAAATTTTCTGCATTTAATCTGGCTGAGGATGGAAGCCCTTTGCAATAATGGTACCAACCAATGAGGTTTAGTTCACTGCCTTTCATTCATTTCTGGAGAGACAAGGAAGAAATGTTTTTTTTTTGGTGCATTCTGTCAATAATATTTTAGCAAGATCCAAACGGTGTAACTCATTGTGCATAATGGTTATGTTTTGGTTCTACAAAATCAATATTCAATATAATTTTAAAAGGATTTTCAATCTTTTAAAATGCAATGCATGCATTTTCTATACATCTTTTTAAGAAAAATATGTTTTTGCATAAATTATATTTTAATACATATGCGTTTAATATGCAGAAAATATCAGTAAAGTGGGAATAACATTTTTTAGGTTTTCACAGAAACATTTGTTCAGCGTTTTGCTGTAGTATTTAATGTTTGATGTAAAACTAACAACATTTACAGAATCTGGTCAAACTTAATTTCCAAGTTGAAAATTGACAGTTTAGCCTGTAAAACTTTTTACAGTTGTGCAGCATTATTCTGGACACCAAAGCTGCTAGATCTCTTTGTAAAAACTACAGATATGTTTTCCACAGTGTGTTTATGTCTGTCAGGAGGGGTTAAAGCCAGAAACCAGACACGTGGGCGTAACAGTCAAACTGTAGTAAATGAAGCACTCCACCTTAAACCCAACCATTAGGTGGTCTACAAATATGTCCAGTTCCAAGATCAAGCAAAACTCCCCTCACTACAATAGTTAGACGATAGTGTTTGTCTCCCTGCTTGACGTGTGACTTTTAAGCGTAAATCAAAAGCAAATCGTTGCACTTGAACCATTTCGTTTGTAACAGACTCGAATTATGGAAACGGGTTTACATCCACACTACATTGCTGGCATTGGCTCGTGGATTAGACCACGAAATGGACAAGTTTCTTAGTCACGCGAGCGGTGCAGTATTTCTAATTTACCAATACCCCTGGCTTTTTTTTTAAATGGTTGTTACAGAAACTGCAAACCGTGTCCTGACCGGATATTTAAGTTTGGCGGCTGCTAGTTAACTAGTTAGCTGCTAATTAACTAGTTAGCTAGCAGCTGGCTAGCTAACGTCGCACCATTATGTCCGGCAGAGCATCCCACGAGCGCGTTGACACGCGCAGCGTTTCCCTGTCGCCACTTGTTGCTTCCACGCGCACAGCACGGGACGAGTTGCCGTGACGACAACAGCTTTGAGCCCCGGGCTAGCAACGGAGCCAAGCTTTAAAAGCTGCCACATCGACAACCAGCCCGCCGGCTGCCGAGACCAACCGCCGCCCGCCGGGCGAGTCGACCCGGAGGACGGACCGCGGGACTTCCGGCCCCGGTCAGTTACGCTGTCACGCGTCCCGGTGTCTCCTACCTGCAGCCGGGCCGAACACAGCCAGAATTCACAGCCCAGTCCAGCTCTCTGCGGTCCTCCCCGTCCGAGAAGCTGCACACAGCAGCAGCAGCAACTGACACGCGACACACACTTCCACTTCCTGTGCACGCTTGGAAACAAAATAAACACTCCCCCTCATCAATTCATGCCATATTAGCATAACGTACACATCAGATGGTTACTCACTTCCGAGTCTATTCCTACTCATGATGTAATGCACTTGGGATAAAGCTGAAGGTATGTTTTCATTTCAGAATAAATGTCTGAGAGATAAAAACCTATTTGGATTCTGAAAGCTAAAACGCATCTTTCTTATGATTGTCCTTATTGTGAAGTCCTTCAGTTCTTCCGGAAATACTTGGAAATACTTTGCCCCTCTAAAGTGTCACAGGTATGGAGCTAGATAAGAGTAAAAATGTTTCATTTGACATCCAAAATGGATGGATGGATACAAAATAAAAATGTATGTGTTAAAAAGTAACTAATTCAGTTTTTAATCTTCAACTGTGAAAGGCCAAAAAAAGTGTTAAAGACTTAAAAGAAGTGCAGTTTTTTTCCAGATCTTCTGCACAGAGCCTGTGAAGGGACATTGAAAACAAAAATACTTATCTATCTATACACACAGATA